CACCCGTAGTTAACCCATAGTTACTTTTTATAATTAAGTGACATCTAGAGTCATGAGATAAACGCGTCTTTTCAAGAAATGCCCCAAAACGACATCTTTATCTTCAAGTAACAAACAAAGCTGTCTGGTTGCCATAGTAATTATGATGAGAGCAAAGCAGGAAGTCAGGTGACGTTGTTATATAGTGACAGAGTTTGTGCAGGGAGGAGGTCAGGATGGACACATGGGTCAACAAAGCACTGGACTTCAACACGGTGCTTAACCATGGCGATGACGCTCCTCTAACCTTAACAAAGCACTTGTTTTTGTGCCAAAGCTTCAAATGTTTTTACCATACCTCTGTCACGTCATAAACGGGTTAGTTATTTATTTTGTGGTGTATCTCCTGCTGCTGTTTCAGGAAGTGCTCCTACAGGTCGGATCAAGGGCAAACAACATAGGCCTATATGGCTGTTCAGGACTTGTCAGTGCTTTTTACTCCACTATTATCTGATAACTTTAGTTACTAGTTTCTTTGCAGATTCACATTATTAATACAAAATATTATCTCTATGATGATCATTTATCAAATTATGATGAATGACTATAGGCTAGCTAAAAAAAAACCCATCCAGCAGTATAGAAAATAATCAAATTTAGGCCTTTTGCAGAAGAAAAGTTCAACATTACTCCTTTTGCATCACCCGAGGCAGTGTGTCTCCTCCTCCTGCATTCCCGCCCAATTCACCCTGTTTCTTCACAGCCTTTGACCTCTGCCTATCCACCCCTCCCCCAACACACACACACAAGGGAAGACTGTTGACAGGGTCTTGTGATGCCATTGATGGCAGTGTTTAGGAAGCGCATGAGTAGAAAAAAAACCTCATTTCCTGACTTTTCTTCCTCCAAGGTGTGTAAAACAGGAATTTATGTCATTTACTCAAGTATTGTGCTTAAGTAGGCTACAATTTTGAGATACTTGTACTTAATTGAATATCTCTATTTTTTCTACTTTATACTTACATTTACTCCACAGTTATTCAGAAACTAGTTATTTTACAGATTGAGATTTCCCTGCAAAGACATATTATGATCTTAAAGACTATGATGCATTGTTATAGATTAATGTAGCCAACATTATATACAATATAACTATGTAAAATAAATTTAATCTCTGATATCGGACAGTTAATTGGACAAAACATCAGACATCTGATGACATCACATGATGATGACTTGGGCTTCAGGAGATTGTGATGGACATTTTTCTGATGGTTTAGAAAATAAATGATTGTTAGATTAAGCAAGTAGGACAATAATCTTTAGTTGCATAACTAAAAATCTGCTCCGCCTCTACGAGCTACAATGTCCACACTCAGCCAACGACATTAATGAAGCCAAAAAGGCAAAACTCAACTTTATTTTTTGATTATTTTAGCGATTACGGCATGAAACTCTTAGGGCTGATGCACATGTTGCAATTTAGATTTGCTGACCCTCATGTCAAACCACGTCACCTGAGAGAGACAGGCTGTAAACAACGGTATTTTGGAGATACCAGGATTTCACTGGGTCATGTAGCTAACACTGACATAATAATAATAAAGGAAAAAATCAGAAAAGACTACAGACAGGTTTTACCAGGAGAGGTACTTTTGTTGGGGTTTGAAGGAAAGATGTTCCCTGGTACCAACAGACGAGTGGGATTAAAAATATCTTTTCTGATATCAGGATGAAAAACAAGCTTGATTTATGATTTATACTATAAGATGTCCTCAAATCTGACTGGCTTTGATGAATAAAGTTCATTAGTGTCCAAGGACAGCAGCTTTCTCTGAATTCATATTCAAACTTCTTAAAGGTCTGGTGCAGGGAAATGACATCTGTGTTTACTACAGGTAACTGGTGCAGAGTGTGCTCATGGGATACTGAGGAAAAGGAAGAAGACATGGTTATTATTTATCACTGAAAGGCTCATTCAATTAATTTGATTTGTTTGTGATAATGTTGAAACTTGTATTAAAAAAAAAATCATGTAAATTTATTCATTATTCATAATGTATAAACACAACCTGTGGATCAAAACAAACAAATATATACATACAGATCATTTCAACACTGACTGACTAAAGGACAAATGTATGGTTTTCATATATGATATAGCCTAAAAACAGAGAATATGTTACCTTAGATAAACAGTGAGCAGTAGAATTCCTGTTTTTAAGTTTCAGTGGAACAGATGTAATCTTTTATCTTTGCTCACCCACACTCCTTTCATTCAAAAGCCTCAAAATATGTTGCATCCTATGTGGTCATTTGACCCCTGGACGCCCCAGCCTGTGACCCCTGCAGCTCCCCTGTGACCAGCCTGTGTGTGTTTCAAGGGGAGGGTGGGGGTGGTGGAGGTGGTGTTCAAGCCATCTCAGGACAATGAAAAAAAAAGGGAAAAACTTCACTTGTAGGCTCTGTTCTCAAAGAACCGGGAACAGGGGTAGAAGAGGTATAGGAAGAGGGGGTTGAAAAGGGTAAAGTGAATCTGGAGCAGCTTCAGAGAAATGAATACAGCATCAAAACTGGTTTAAAGTTGACTATTTAGCAGCTTTACCATTAAACCATCATGCTATATTAAATGGTCTGGAAGCTGCATAATTACAGTATTCCTCTGTGGTGTTATTATTCTGCTTCATATGCCACTTCAGGCTGTTTAATCCAATAAGGATACGGCTGTGGCTACATATGATAATTAGATTAATTTAAGAATAATATGTTGTGTGGTCGAATTTAAACAGGCTTTATACATATGGTTCCAGGACTAATATTACAATAAAAATACTACTGACTAATAACAATAAAACAGATACATTTAAGCTTACCTGGACAGTATCATGAAGAAACTAAGATTCTTAAATAGATACTGGGTCAGATATATTGAGAGAATTTAATTTAATGCGCTTGCAACCAAATATGAGCACAATAGCGGATTTCTTCCTGTATGCTGTTGAAAAATAATGTTTTTTATAATAAACGCTCTCGATCGCTTCAACCATGTTTGGGCAACATTTAGCCTTCAATTCAACCACTTCCAGGGTTTGGATCCATTTTGTGCTCAGGAGCCATTTTCTAACAAAGCGAGCGCACACGTTTCCTCCGGGGCCTGTAGTACAGTGTGCCCACAAAGTCTCCATAGCCTCTCACATGGAGGAAAGAGGTCTTTTAAAAACCCAAATCCAGACTTGCGAAATGTAAAACAGGAGAGTGTGAGATATGCATACACTGGACGCATTGAGCGCCAACGTGAACCACAGCCAAACTCTGTAAATGTGTGTGGGGGAAGAGAGGCAGGCCCTGTGCACCAGTCACTGCCTCCATTTTGAGAAGCCTTCTTCCACGCAGAGGGGCGCGCGGTGGTGTGTGTGGTGCTGTAGCCCAGCGACTGCGCCAGACTGTTATTTCCTCTGCGCCCCTCACAGAGAAATATGATAAAAAACGGACGATCCACGAAAAGCTTACGCGCCTGCTTGGGCACAGGGGTGAAGTTGTATTTTAACTCTGGGTGCCGCCTGTTGGAAGCCATGACCTTAGTGAGCAATCACTACCACGGTGGTTGTATAAAGTGTCTTAAAAGCAGAGGGGCGGTGCAGTTTAACGCCAAGTATCAGCTACATAGATCCCCGCCCGCCTTGCTACAACAGCCTGCTGTAGTTCCACTGTAGCACCGCCATATCGGATACAATGTTGCTCTTAATGGGGCTCCAGGCATTTAGGCAACAATGTATCAAAGTTAGTGGAAGGTTTCCAGGTCACACTAGAAACATTTGCGGCCCCTGAAGCAAAAAATGGGGCTCTGAACCTTTTGTTCCGCCGCCTCACACAGCCAGAGGTTCACCATAGGTCATTTATGTAACAGTCATGACAACTAACTTCTTCCCCCACTTATCATATTCATCCAGAGGGCGGGAACAGTTGAGAGGTGTGGGTGCTAGGCCACAGAATTAGCAGGCGGTGCCTTGTTATTTAAATACAAAGCGTTTCTAGCCGTCTAGGCCTTAAGCTATTCAACACAGGGCGAAGTGAGTTGAGGCAATAAAAACAGAGGTTGTCCGCTCTTAGCTTTTTTCGCTTACATTACTGTGCAGTGGAGGAAGTCTGGTCTCTCTATAGCATAATCTCCGCCCGCAGAAACGTATCAAGCTTATGTGTGGTACGTCATGTTGCATAAAAGCACAAACTGCGCCGTGCACGATTACAGTATGGATAGAGGCGCGAGCCATAGAGTTAAGGGGGTTTCGGCTTGTGTGTGCCCATCCGCGCGCACATTTGCACACGCGCTCATCTGGTGAATACCCTAGGATAAGATGGGGAGCCCCCCCCCCCTCCTGTCTCTAACCTACTCCAAATAGACCACGTGGTTTCCTCTTTGCAAACAAAAAAAAAAAAACGTGAATTGGAGTCGGTGGAGGGGCGGCGTCACCCCTCCGCCGGCAGCAGGCGGATCGCTGAAAGAGGGAAGGGTAGAAAACTAGAGAGAGAGGCGGAGAGAGAGGAAAACATTTCTCCCGACTTGATCCCGCCATAGTTTTTCCCACTCTTCCACCATAGACCCATCATCAAATCCACCCAGTACAACCCACCTCCTCCACAGTGCGGTAGAAAGGCTATAGGCTGCTGCTTTATTCGTCTGTTGGGGCCGGCTGCAAGTCAAGGGATTTCATTTCTTCTCCTGCTCCACTTATTCAACTGGATTTACAGCTAAATTCAATACCATCTGTTTTTACACTTTTGAAATCTCATTTTTAGTTTTCGGCCGAGTAATAAATATTTGTCGCGTTTTGTACTCTTTTTCCTTTTTTTGAATAGTCGCGATCTAGCGTGATTTCCACTTTCAGTTAGTGTGGCAAGTGTGACAATATCTTGTTGCGCTATAAGCAAATTCAGGAGAGAAACTTTTTTTGGTGGCTTCAATTTTAGTTACTCCAGGGTTTATCTTTTTCGGTTTTGGACTTGGAAAAACAATTTCCACCATGCACAAGCTATACATTGGGAATCTAGGCGACAGCGTTACTGCCGAGGACTTAGGAAAAACCTTTGACGACCACAAGATCCCATACTCCGGACAGTTTCTAATGAAAACCGGCTATGCGTTTGTGGATTGTCCGGACGATCAGTGGGCCATGAAGGCAATCGAGACGTTTTCTGGTGAGTTACCGTGGACTACTGACCGCTAAAGACCCCCCTCTTCCACCTTTAGTTTCATTCATTCTACAGCGGTAGACGCCGGTTACAGCCCCGGCTGCATGCACACCGTCAGCGGCGTGCCCCAGTTTCACTCCCCGTCCACCTCCCGACGCTTCTAGGCTACTATATGAACACACTGGTTAAAAATAAATTCACACAATTATTTTTATTGATGCTAGCTTAATGAATCGTAGTGGTTGGAGAGCTACACACCCAGGGGAGCCATTCAACTTTTGCAAGGGGGAGGGACACACGTAGTGTAAACGTAAAGGTATACAGTAAGTCCGTGGAGAATGCTAACCACTACTTCACATTATTGCTATTTAACGAATGAGATTTTATTTGATCTATTTATAACATAATTCAGGCTTTTGTGCTCTTTCCTAAGCCGTGCATGTGAGTGTCATTCAGATGTGTTGCACGCCTTACACTGGGTTGACTACTCTCTTGTGATATAGAATGAAGCCTTGCTGGCTCTCCTCCCCCTTTAAGCCGACAGTCCACTATGACAAAGATAGAAAAATATCTTACCCGGTGCACTTATCCAAACAGGCCTCACTCCAACACGAATCCAAAAAATGTAGCACCGTCGTGGTTAAAGCTTGATTAGCCCTGTGCTTTTTGTAGCTTATTTCTTATGATTTCCTACATATGTAACGTGAGGAGGCAAGGTCGCCATGCCAGTCGGCTCCCTCTGCCTCTACTTCTGCATTAGACCTCACGAACATGAACACCCAACCCCCCTCCCCAAAGGCACATGGGAGTTTAAATCTTGTTAAAAAAAACACACACACACACCACAAGCCATAAGATACATTTATATTCGTAAAGTTGTAGTATTGTATCTGTGTGGGTTTAAGTAGCCCATTGTGTGAGTCAAAGTGACGAGCTTAGACCATTCACTTGTGCCATGACTGTGAAGTCCTGGTTTGGGCCCTTTGAACCCGTATCCTGCTTCTCGCGTGCTCCTAATTGTTATCTTTGTGTTTGCTGTGTCACAGATTTCAAAAAGTAATCATTTGGGGTTCCTCCACTTTAGCTACACACCCAGAATACAGCTCATTCCCCCCTCATAGGCCTGCAGTAGCTAGTAAACAGTTAGCATGTAGCCACAGTGTATTCTGAACCCGTTTTTTTTTCCAGGTAAAGTGGAGCTTCATGGGAAACGCATTGAGGTCGAGCACTCCGTCCCCAAGAAGCAAAGGTACTAAACAGTGCTCAGTACTATGTCACCCCTCCCCCTTCTCTCTAAACCCCCCTTTCATGTGTTGCATCACCTTGTCTGGGCCTTTTCTTTTTCATGGAGTACACCACGATTTCACTCATTAATGTGTAATTAGAGGTTAACGGTGAAAATGTGCCCAAGTGTTCCCCCTCTCGTTGGAAGCCATGTGAAGGTTGTGCTCGGCCGGGGTCTGCTTGTGTTTTTGTTGGTGTGACTGAGTGGAGCCTCAACTTTGTCGGCCATTGCTGTGGAAGTGAACTGTGACAGCTTTTAAGCTAGCTCCCTGCCGTGTTGTTTAGCCCAGTGTAGCTGGAGGATTGTCTTCATTTGAAATCGCTGGTTCTGGTTGAAGCACGTTCAGATCATATATTCTTTGCAAACTCAGCAGACTTAAGCTACAACCTCGTACTGGAGCCTTTGCATGTCTGCAGGTCCACCCCTGTCATCTACAGCTACACTAGCTATTAACAGGTTTTTAGAAATACACTGGGAAATTTACATTAGGCTAATGTGTGTCTTCTGTGGCTGTTTCATGGTTAAGTTTGGCAACTTATTAAACTCTGAGACAAACTCTGAGTACACGCATTTACTCCTTACATGCAGGTTTTAATACATTGTAGTGTAGGTTCATGTTTACATTTCATTCATGTGTGGCTGCAAATCATTTAAAAATCGATACTATTCGTTATGACGTTTTTACGTAAAATTCACTCTTAATATATATATTTTTTTGGCTTGGTAAAAATATTTCCAGCTGTAATGTAAATGTTGATGTTTATGTGATTTAATGGAGTCCTAATTATTTCAAAAACGTTGAATAAATTCAGCACAAACCTTTATGATTTCCTGAAAAAACACAGCTGTGTATTTTGAATTTTTACAGGCAATAATTGTAATAATTCCTTTCAATGTTTTGACCTGTTTTCTGAGCAGCTGTAGAATTAAAATAGAATAAATATTTGCCCATTAAAACATCATGATTGTGAAGCATTTTAATGGAAACAATATACCTGTAGCTCAGAGTTGTGTTTTTAAAATGAAATTCCCTCTGTGCAGGGGATAAACTGGGATCCATTGTAAATCAGCTGCTCTGTGTTAATAGCCAGACTTGACCTGCTTTTAACAGTATCATGGAATTCGCCTATAGACCATCTTTCATGCCTGTAACCTTTGGCACAGATACGAGGTGAGCTGTGAGCACAGCTCTCCATGTTCTACTGTTTGGCCACATGTGTGCTCATGTGTGTGTGTATCCCACTAGCTAAATGGCCAGTGGACACAGATTTCATCCTGTTGGTTCATTGTTTGCTTCAAATAAATTCTAACATTATGTGTGATCAGCATTTATGTGATATTGTGTGTGAATGTGGGTAAATGTGTGAATTAGAGCTGGTTTTAGGCACCTGCTCTGCGCCATAAATGTTGCAACATAGCTGTGGAGCAAAAAATACTAGCAGTGTGGTCTTTCTGGAGCTGAATGGCGTTTGGCAGTGAGGCTGGATCTCACAATTATCGTCAAACTGCAGAAACAGGTCACTCGTCATGCTTAGGGAACCAACATGGCAGCAGGCTGTAATTTCTTATAATCTCTCAGCGGGTTAGTAAATGATTCTGATGGTGCTTGTGTGTTGTGTTGTGTGTGCACCAGTGTCCCAGACCCTTTTTTTGTTGATAACCTTGAAGAGCCATAATGATAAAGGTGATTTGTGAGATGGGGGGGCCACCCTGGGCGAGTCAAGGCCTTCAGTGGCTCCACAACACGTGGTGCCTCCACGCAAAGAGGAGTCACTCCACGTCAGGCAGTGAGGGTAAAATGGCGAAGCTCTGAATGAAGCAGGAACACTGCACAGGCAGCTGTTTTTTTTTTTTTTCTTTTTTTTTTCTCACTGGGTCTCCTCTGCGCCCAGCTCACCCTGTTAGCAACACAGCTAGCATACTTCAATTGCTGTTGATGTTAAAAAGTATTCCAGTTTAAACATGAATGCATTATGGGAGAGGATTAATACCATGGGAAACAATTTTATCAAGCCCCATTTTTAAAATGGCCGTTCATATATCCAGCTAACGAGAGCCAAATTATCCAAATTATGTCCCAAAAATTATTGTTTAAATATTTATGTCAAACATCTGCTCAACTACTGTACCCATACATGTCTATGTGATGCCTGAGTGAACACAAGTGTACTGCATTGCTTAGTTAATGTTTAAAAAACCCCAGCTGTGACACAACAGCAGCAGTGTATTTGTTAATGAACACTAATTTGAGCAAACAGGCGACTTTCTTGTTTTTCACAAGGTGTGCTTTCACACTAATAACCAGATAAGTGAAATAATTAATTCCCTCTAACTACTCCACAACTAACAAGAAGCTCCTGTTTCATATCATGTTGATCTTTGCCTTCTTTAATCTGACTCCAGTCTTGTCAAATCCTGGGAGTATGTTCAAGTTAGCAGGTCCGTTATTGCTGCTGAGTGTGTAGTAGATGGTGTGTGCACTCTATTCTGACATAGGAGGAGGTGTGTGTTTGTGTGGGAGGGGCTGGTGTTCAGAGGGAACTGAACCCTTTATTTAAGGGATGGGATCGGGGGAGGAGGTAGGGGGGCAGTTCTAGGGTTCCACTCCTTCTTTCTGTTCCATAAGCGTCAGTGTTTAACCCCTTGTAGGCTGCAGGGGGCGCTGTCCATGGCTACCCCCTGACCCCTGACCAATGCTATGGATGTATACGCTCTGGCTGTGTGTGTGTGTGTGTGTGTGTGTGTGTGTGTGTGTGTCAAAAAATGGCTGCTGTAACACGGAGATGGAAGGGTTTTAGATTTCAGAGACAGTCATAATATTCATCATGAGGCTGAGCGAAATGTGTGTCAGGCTGCAGAGGTTTGTGGGAGGTCAGCAGGAGAGGTAGAGGAACAGAGGGAAGAGCTGGGAGGGGTGCAGGGGATGGGGGCTGAACGGTGAGTGTGTAAGAGTGTGTGTGGTTGGGGGATGCACAGAGAGAGCAAGCCATCCTTTAGAGAGAGAAAAATGTACAGATATCCTATAGTGATAGATTGTGAATGTAAAAGTAACCAAAAACCAAAAATCATTTGAGTATTTTCAATTTTAAATTTAACAAAAAAAATCTGTGGCTCCACTCTACAAAAACACAGTTTGTTGCTGCAACCATTATTCATTTCATTTATTTAAGGGTTTGTTAGGGATGGTGTACCAATAATAAATTGTATTTTTAAATTTTAATGTAACAAAACAAACATTTACAGAAAATTATATTTATTGAAATAATGATTTAATAGGTTTTACACCAATTTGACAGCAGGTGCAATGTATTCAAATTTAATTTTTAAAATGCTTTAACTTTAATTAGAAAGTAAAAGATGGTTTACCTGTTGTGTTATCTGAATCCACATCCTAAATACATGAAGATCTGGGTCTGTTGCTGTTTTATACACTGTACAATAATTAATATCACAGTTTCCTGAATCAGCTTAGCTTTAGAAATACCTGTTCTTACTGTGCCCCTTTTGGGTAGCAGGAAGGAACATTATCATTTGACCTAATTCATTATGGCTGTACCTGCTCTCTCTGTGAAAATCACCAAAAATTCCCTCTTTCATTTATGCTGTAGAAAAGAGTGTATCTCATTGATTGGTTCATAGACGCCAATATAAAACACACCAATCTCAGCTGCAAAATCTCTGATTTATTAGCTATACATTTGGCTGCAGCCAGAAATAATGTTGTCTTCAGATCGGGTGTCATCATTTGGAATATTTTCTTAATCGTAACTCTACCTTTACGTGTGGATGTTCAGATGTGTAGTCACCAACCAGAGCTCTGTGACCGACTTCACTCAAAAAGTTTCAGCAAAATAACAAATGAATCCAATGTCAGTTTTTGTTATAGAGTCTGAAAGAAATACACATTTTCTTACAGATTGTAAAACAACTAAATAAAACAAAAATAAATATGCAGTTGATTTTTCTCATCCAAAAACTGGAAAAAGCAAAATTGCATTGGTGTCTAACATTTGTTGTTGCCTGATGCATCCAATTCTCTTGTTAATCCTCATGTGTTCTGGTTGTAACCTCCACCACCCTCAGACAAAAACCTTTTTTTTTAAATCTCAGAAAATAAAAAGTAAATCTAAGGTAGCTGAGCTAAATATAACTATACAGCATCCCGTCACTCTGTGTGTGTGTGTGTGTGTGTGTGTGTGTGAGAGAGAGAGAGAGAGAGAGAGAGTGTGTGTGTGTGAATTGAAAAGAGAGAATCACTTCCTGTTCCTCTCATACTGTTCTAGTTCCCTATATTCCCCCATAAGTTCCCTATAGAAATATAGGGAACCTGTAGGCTATAGTTATGACGTATGGATCAAAGGAGGTATATTCAACTCCCAGCATTCACCCTTCAATCAATCATTATGACCACTTGGTTTTGTGAGTCTGTCCTCCCCCCATCATTTCCAGCCGATTAGTCTGATCAATTCTGTCACAAAATTTTCAAATAAAATTAGTTGTGAAATGAAGTTGAAAGATATTTTTGCTTTGTCCTTCATAATGAGAACGAGTTTGATCAAACAGCTTATGACAAATGAAGATCCCAGTTCTCCTGCCATTCACTGACAGACTGTAAAATGACTCTATGGTGATAATATAGTTAATATAGATAATATAGTATAATAGTTTAGAGAGTTAACCAGGTGGGAATATCCTATATATTATTAGGATATTCACACATTCTCATTAAATAGCTTAAAAGTTCACAATATATCTTTCTTTTGATGTATAATCTTATTAAATACCTATGAAACATTCAAACATCTTGAGTCTCGTCTTGGCTGCACCATCACAACAAATGGCTGATTTTTGATACTTCAGGCATCATTCATCATTTATAGTAATTTTTCCACTAATGTAGTTTCATCTATATCTACAAAATATCTAGAATCCATCCACTAAGAGGAGGAATGGCTAGTTAGTCA